CGCAAAGAGGTCGTTATAATTCACCCAGATAGATTGTCTTGCAAATGGTACCTCCCCATAGAAATCTCTGCTCGTTCGCCAATCCCGAAAATATACAACAACATGTGGATTTTCGTCAAAAGCCTGGGATCCTACTAGGCACCCTAAGTCATAGTTGTTTTTTTAGCTGGTATAGCTGGATGTTGATTCCTCAAGTCATATGGTAAGGCATCACGGGGTTCCACCTCTACCACCATTCTATAGCTATTGTCATCTCGATGATCATCCCAATAATCATCCTGACAGCCAAATAGTTCTAGATTTTAGAATGGGAATCCCCTATGCTGAAGACCTTGCAGTTTACAACCGTAATCTGTCACCAGTTTATTCATCGTAATATTTGGGATCTCAGGCCGCCCGCAATCTTCACATTTGGCCAATTTTGGCCATTTGGCCTCAGATCTGCCTGTGACATCCTGTGACGCAATCAGTGGGATTCGTGATCTTGTGCCCAAAGACCTACAAAATTAAGCAATTCACAACTGGTTGGTAGTATACCTCCCCCCTCTGAAAAATATGAGTTCGTCAGTTGGGATGATGATTATTCCCAATATGTGGAAAGTCATAAAAGCCATGTTCCAAACCACCAACCAGACAAAAGATTTACCCATAAAGGTCTGCTATGCTTCTTGTTTAAAACCATGTCTTCACCAGCCATATCTTCGAAGCCTGCACCTGCTCGAGTCGTTCAGAAAAAGCCTGGTGCACCGTTCGTCAAAACTTCGTGCAGGACTGGGGGTGATTCGTATGGCAAAATTGCGGCGGTGGGAAATTTCTGGAGAAAATATGGGAGGAATCATCGGAACAGTGGTTTTTCTTTGGGGGTGGTGTTGGACTAGGGTTACACTCTGGCAAACATACAAAAAAACTATGGAAAATCACCATTTTGTTCATGGGTAAAGCAACGATTTCGACGGGGCCATGGCTTCAATAGCTCCACGAGTTGGTCGAGTTGATGCCAAAAAACTCTGGTGAAATATTCCAGAAACAGCCCACTTGTACATGGTTTAATAGAAGAATTGTACATACTTGGGACATGAAAAATATTGGGATGGGATTATGACTATAACTGAAACTGCAAGTCGTTGTGAATTCCATAATTGACGAAAGCTGGTTGATGAACCAAGGTGGTACCCCCACAAGCAAAGAAAGAAGTGAATGTTGAAAAATGTATAAAAATGTTGAAAATAACAACCCCCATATTATCTGCCTGAATTATAACATACACTGCACTAACGTGAAAATACCTGAAACTTACGGCCAGCGAACTGGGGATGTTTCCGCGAATCCATAAAAACCATCACTCCAGTGACGTCACGTCATGAGGTCATTGCAATTCATCCAGATCTTGTAGCTATTATATTAAAAATCCCTAAAACCATTGTTAAGTATTATTAAGCAGTATTAACCATTGATAAACAGTAATTTTAAAATTTAAAACCATTAATCTAGATAACAATTATAACAATTAATCATTATATAATAGTCATTATGATTCATCCAAATATCATGTATGTATATATACATATATATAAACCAGATTCGGGTTTGGCAATCCTCGCGAGCTCACGAGCTCGCCGGATGATACTGTCGAAGTCCTGTCACTAAGTCGAGCTACTCCAGTGGATCGAAATGAGAAGATCACAACCGGTCCCTGTGCAAAATTTGGAATTTGAATTATCATCTGGTAATCTAATATAGCCATGGAAAATAACCATTTTTAATAGGTAAACCATCTATAAACCATCTATTTCTATGGGATTTACCATCTGGTTATTTAACATAGCGAACTGGAAAATCCCAGCCATAAATGGAGGTTTCGTTCGCTGGGAAAATCATCTATCTCTATGGGCCATCTATACCATGGCTATGTTAAATAACCAGAGGGTAGCCAGAAAAAAAAAAAGGTTCACGCCATTCAATGAATTGTACTGAAACAAGTTGCATTGACCATGATCTTGTTGCAATAAATCCCAAGCCTCATTTGCTGTGTCATTCAATTATAAACTGCTTGCCCCAAGGACTACTCCAGCATGGTGTGTTTTCGCAACTGATACATCCACCATAAAGCCAAATAAACCCAACTCATGAACCAAGTCAGCTGTATAGCTACGGAATGGGGGAGCCTAGCTATGTTTGTTGGTTTATACTCTCCAGATCCCTGAGATGGACGTTGAAAATTGAGAAAATGTGCGCCCGTACTATGGTGGTTTCAGCGTTCACTTTGACCTCCACGTCTATCTCGGAAGGGAGTGTAGTTATTTGAATAGCATACACCATTGTTATTATAATCCCTTCCCCCGTTCATATTTTCGACACCCCCGTTCAACGAAACCTTGGTAAAAAGTCCTGAATTTCATGGAATTTCCACATTCCATTGGGACCATAGAAATGGGGTGTTTAATAATTATTAGGATGGGGCCCCCCAGTGATGTGAACGTTGGTTTAAAAACCCCATTGACTATAATTATCTAAAGTTATATCTACCATAAACCATAGATTTCAGCCACTTAGAAACTTAGATGGGATTAGTTATGTTATGTTCACCAACTTTGTGATTCCGAACTGGCGCCTTTAACAAACCATGCCTAACCAGTTTAACCAGTTCGGGCGGAGGCCGAGATCATCAAAATCTGTTATTTTCCACAGCTATGGCTAAATCACAAGAGGGTAGCTATGCAAATGTCATATTATAGATATCTACCTATTATAGATACCCTCTGGTAAACTAACATAGCTATTGAAAATGGTGATTTTCAATAGTTATGTTAGTTTACCAGAGGGTATCTATAATGTTATAGATGATATAGATACGTATATTTGCCGTACCTATAATGTTATAGATGAGGTCAAATTTATAGATATCTACCTATTGTTATTTTATTATTGCAAATGTGATGTTCGCAAAATGTTGGTTGACTGGAGAGTATCAATAAACAATCCCAGCAAAACCTGGTTTGGTACTGAATCTCTTCATTTGAAAACTCCAGATGGTAGGGTTATTGAGATGATATGAGTTCTCATCGGGTTGGTGCGTCCATCCTCCTACATATATACATCATATAAAACTATATAGCAGAACTGGTTGGTGGTATACCTACCCCTCTGAAAAATATGAGTTCGTCAGTTGGGATTATTATGCCCAATATATGGAAAAATAAAATTCATGTTCCAAACCACCAACCAGAGAAAGTTGGTGATACCCTCTGGTAATGACCAACAGTTTGCTATTGAAAAAATGGCCCGTTTCTAGATGACTTACCGTTCTTGAAGATGGTGATTGTTCATAGCTTTTTATATGTTTACCAGAGGCTAATCATCCCCAAAAATGGTGGAACAACCAGAAGCGATCCAAATGGATAAGACGAATTGGGATCATCATCTCAGGCCTGAAAATTCCAAGAAATAGTTGATTGTTTTGATCCGTGAAATGCTAGTCATAGATATTAATCTATACAACCATTAAATCTTCAACAATCTTCAACATTATAGTAATCTAATATTATATAACTATCTAAAGTGAATCCAAAATATAGTCATACGTTTTATCCAATCAAACATCGTCTACACGTATCATCAGTGCCTCCACATGGCCCCCGGTTAACGGCCACAAAAATCGCACCTCTACTGCTGCAACCTGCGACAAACTGGGACCCCTCTGGTTCGATCGTCCCCTGGGAACTCTTGCTGGTTGGTGGTATAGCTACCCCTCTGAAAAATATGAGCTTGGAAAGTCATAAAATTCAGGTTCCAATATATGGAAAGTCATAAACTTCCATGGTTCCAAACCACCAACCAGCTTGGGTTTAGTAGATACGCAACATCAAAGGCGTTTATAAACCAACTTACCTAGGGGGCCCCAGGGTCCCACATTCGTGGTGATTGAAATCACCAGAGAACTCGCGTTCCGCGGGACTTACTCATCAAGCGCGGGTCGCGCAGCCAAAGTGACTTATGCCATGTATATTTGTAGGTTGTAGGTGCATCCAAAACTGATTGATATCTGATAGCAATTGGATGAATACAAATGATGGATATCCATCACTGATCGATGTCAATATCCAACATAAAAAGAATTCCGAAATTGTGGAATATCAGTTTTCCAATTGGTTTCCAATTTTCCAATTGTTACTGATGAATATCCAACATGTCAATATCTTCCAATTTTCCCACTGGTTTCCACAAAGAGACGCCGAAATTCCCCACCTCAGCAGATAAGGCGGCAATTGCAAGATGGACAGCGAAGGCCGGCATCAGAAGCTTTTCAAATACGAAAGTTCCACTGGCAGAGTTTTGGCTTATGAAATATTCCTTGATGACAACAACAATATGGGTGATATCACCAATTTTTTGGCGATCTCCCTATTTCTTCTGGTGAAATCATGTGAAATCATGTGAAATCCTATGTTTTTGGGGGCGAAATCACAACTGATCCCGCTGGTTACATCCTCTTTTTCGAAACGCTGATCCCGCTGTTTGTTTCCACTTCTGATTCTTTGATTTCTCGGTTCGGTCGCCTAGAGCCAGGCCTGCAGGTAAAGGAACCAACTGGAATCTACGCTGGAGATTGAAAATGTCCCACTTCTATCAGTTTGTAGATGAATCTCCCAAGCGCAGCAGCCATTTCCATTGCCAGCTAACGCAAGAAAACTGATTGGGAGATTCCAGGCTGCGATTTTAAAAAAATATAATGGCATGGTCACCCGATGCTCCCTGAAACTTGTCAACGCAGCTGGTACACGGCGTCTTCTGTGCTCTACGTAACATCCAGTCTGGGTGTCTGGGTTAACCCACCAGTTGCTCTCGTCGGCTGAAGTGGCTCGGATCTACAAAAAGGTATATGATCTGCCCCAATCTTCGATGTCATACATGTGTGTCTATAGGTAGAGAAACATCCCCGGTGTAGCTCCATCTGCAAAGCGTGATGTTTTTTTTTCAACTGTCGCTTTGCCATGTTTTTGTTAGGCAAATTCCTCCCAGAGTCTCTCAATAGCGATCAGGAGAATTGCACCCGCCACGATGTACAACGCAAACTTGTCGGAATCATCTCGGATCCTCGGTCGACATCCGAGGCCTGATCCCCCAGGTTCCAACTTGCTGATGGGGCATGGGCAATGCACTTAAATAACCATTATTGATCTTGCCACTTCCCAGATACACTTCCCATTGAAGATTCAGAGATCCCAAAATCTGAAGTACTCTTCTGGTTGGTGACATCCATAGGATCTCCATAGGATCGGCATCCAAAAAAACCTTCCAAGTACCATGCCCATTCTGCAAAACGAACCAGCTACGGTACGTGGTCACGTGCAAAAGTGTGTCTACCTACAAGAAAACGCATACATATACGCTGTAAAGAAAAGCCAAATAATCATCATAATCATGATGAAAAACATGATTTTAACTATTGTAAACATCGACATGTAATGCTCCCTGTAGTAAGTATACCCCAAAATGATGATATATGCCATTGGGTTTACCACAATACATCTATGATCAATCATCATCCATTTGAACGTAGAATCCATAGTCATGGCCGATGGCCAATTGTGTAACATGGCCTGCCTGAGTCCCTACACTGTGTTCTTTAGCCTATAGCCCTACAATGTACAGTACATGACATGGTACAGTATGGTTGAGAGTTCCAATTTTAAACTACATATAGACACCATAAAACGGTATTTATGATATCTATACCTATACATACATGTCGTTATATCTGTAGATAATTGATACCTATGTATGTATGTGTGTACGTACGTACGTACGTACGTGGGTGTGTGTCTGTATGTATGTATGTATGTATGTATGTATGTATGTATGTATGTATGTATGTATGTATGTATGTATGTATGTATGTATGTATGTATGTATGTATGTATGATGTATGTATGTATGTATGTATGTATGTATGTATGTATGTATGTACGTACGTACGTACGTACGTACGTACGTGGGTGTGTGTGTCTGTATGTCTGTATGTCTGTATGTCTGTATGTCTGTATGTCTGTATGTCTGTATGTCTGTATGTCTGTATGTCTGTATGTATGTATGTATGTATGCATGCATGCATGCATGCATGCATGCATGCATGTATGTATGTATGTATGGGTATGTATGCATATGTATGCGTATGTATGCGTATGTATGCGTATGTATGCGTATGTATGTATATGTATGTATATGTATGTGTATGTATGTATATGTATGTATCTGTATGTATGCGTATGTATGTGTATGTATGTGTATGTATGTGTATATATATATATATATATATGAGGCATGCATATTTAAATCTGATCACACATGTGTGTATATATATATATATGTACAAATACTGATTATCTCCAGATAGATATGTATATATATATAGATATATATATATTATAGATACCTTAATGTATGTACCATGTATGTATATTGTCGATACCATAATATATGTACAATTCTATAATCAGAGGTAATATACAATGACATGTAAATAAATGACATGTATATGTGGAGGTTTCCTACAATAATAGTACCCCCAAATCATCCATTGTAAACAAACCGTCCAGCTATTTTTGGGGTATCCCCATGATTATGAAACTGAAGAAAATGACCAGAATCTCCATGATTTCGCGCCGGAAAAAATCGAGGCGCAACTGTCGCTCCATCGTGTTGGCCACGATTTTGGCCTTGGCGTTGAGGGCTTCGCTCTCCGCAACTGGCACCACGATGTCGCGGTTCTTCCACTCCCCCGCGATGCCCTTCCTCGGCGCACGGATTTCGATGACCGGGGAACTGTCTTTGATTAGACTCTACATACATGTAGATATATGACATACATTTTGGATATTGCACATATATATATATATACATATTTATTTATTTATTAGATATGGGATGTATGTGGATATATATGTAACAAATAACATATTCACATATTGCATAGTGAAGAACCAACTATACATCATATTGGATAATCTACATGATGTTCACTCAGCGCCTTCAGCGATTTTCAGCGGAAAAGGGACGACTTGATCGGGGCTCGACTGGTCATTCATCCATATAAATATGTATTATGCTGGTATAGGTATGCATATATAATATCATATAATATGATACAATATGTACATGTACGAATCAGGTATGTGTACATACCCTAAGGAAACCAAACGTTGCCATTTATAGAATTTATAGATCATGTTGCAATTGAAACCAGAATATTTAAATGGGATTTTCCAATTGCCACGTTTGATGACCGGAGTGGTTGGGCAACTCCAAGACCCATTTTATGTGCCCTATAAAAGTGGAAGACAAACCAAGAAACGACAGAGCAATAAAACTGAGGATGACGAATAGTCACCCTAGAACACGGAAACTTCATTACCCTCCAAAAGGATAAGATCTTACCAAATTCCATATCTCCATATATGGATGTGGGTCAAAATGGAAGACCTAGGGGACCACAGATGTTAGTCTAGTTTAGTATTAACCATCCAATTATTGGGGTACCTAATTTTGACCCATACCCATATCTCCAGGATGATAAGTCGTAAGACTAAACCAGCAGAGATTCTTCTTGGATGGTCAGCCGAACGGCGGTGAATCACTGCTGAAATCAGGGTGATTTAAGGCCAACAGTCCAACATTATGGTAAAATTAGCCGTGCTAACAAGAAACACCGCATTTGTCATGTTTGGAAGATCAGGGAGCCAGAAAGGAAATGATAGTATTGATAGTGTACTTTTTTCATAGATGTAGCTACAGATATCTGCACAAATTACGTCCTAAACCAAACGAAATAAGCCCATTTTTGAGATGAACCCCCCAATCCAAAACGATTTCCGTTGAGATGTCTTGATCTGAGCGTGGCTGGACAATCCTCCGTTGAGTTGGGGGAAAACTCCCAATATCCACCCGCTGAGCTTCCCAAAGACCCAGCCGTCCTGATCGGCCAATTTCAAGTAGGTCTGACCGTCCTTGGAACAGGGCGGTGTCAGCAGCAAGCTGGGAGCATCCCCCTTTAAAAAAAGGGTCATTTGGATTCCATGTTCTATCATTCCCCAGATCCCATCAGATCCCAGCACAATGAGAAATACTAACACTATGTGTGTGTGTGTATATATATATATATATTTATAGATAGATATATAAATATTTATATATATACTTATAGATATATATATATATACTTATAGATATATATATATTTATAGATATATTCTTAAATATATATATATAATTATATTTATATATGCGCCCATTATATACCAATAGAACGGGCCTGAATCCAATCCAGGCCTCTTTGGTTCTCAATTCCGAGGCCTGAAAATAGTCTCCGGCTTTGATCACCGAGACCCACTCTCCTGGGGGGGGAGCAGCTGTCATCCCGAAAATTGGCCAGGCTTCATTAGGAATGGTTGATGGTTAATAAGAATTGTTATTGATGGTTAATAATGGTTTGTAATGATTAATAATGGTTAATAATTGTTGATAATTGTTTTTCATGGTTAATAGTGGTAAATAATGGTTAATAATGGTTAATAATGGTTAATAATGATGGTTATTGATGCTTATTGATGCTTATTGATGGTTATTGATGGTTAAGAATATATTTATAATAATAGTTAATTAATGATTGTTATTTGAAAAAGAACATGGGTTTCACATAGATAGTTATTGATGGTTAATACTTTTCAGTGGGTCAAGAATGGTTAACGTTAAATATATCTTTTTTACAATGGTCAATAATGAAGGTTTCCATTTTGTCATGGGGTACGCCCAGTTCTCATCCAGTCGTCACGGATGACCATGACTTAGTATTGAAATCACCATGCTGACGACAGGGGTTCCCCCATGACAAAAAAAAAAACATCTCTCAAAAATCTAGATCTCAAAGAAACATGAAAGAAACGTTGTTCTCATTGCTGCTCAAGCAAACAGTGGACACCACTCCAGGAACCATGCTTTTCGATACTGAGCATCTTGCCCCCAATCCCACCCACCATTTGTTTCCATTTGTGGAGCCACTGCTCCTTCCTTGCAAAGTTCTCACACTCCAATCTCAGCCATGGTTGATGACCACTTTGGAAATTGAGATTTTTGTTGTGAAACGCCTTCCAAAAATCCCGTCATGTTTGCGATTTATCCACCTTCATCACCAACAGAAGACACAACCAGCTGCCCCACTCGTCCCTGCCACCTACGCCCCCACCTGACTTCAACTTGGCACTTTCGGCCCCCGCCAGCGACGGGGCGTTCACATCCGGCGCCATGCGCACCTTGATGTTGGTCTCGGCCTTAAAAACTCCTGCGGCCGTCGTTGAGTTCAAAATGGAATTTGGGGGATCACTTGAGAATCAATATTGAAACCTCATGGCAGTTTATATAGGACCATATATTGAAGGATATAAACCCAATCTGGGATATAATCTGACATAATATTGAAGGATTGAACTCAATCTTGATACCTCATCTTTTTACAATATCTGAAAATCATGGACCCTGGGGTGTACGATGATAAGTAAGGATAAAACAAACAAACAAATCATGAAGCAAACAAACGCAGGGATCATCAAATATCCCCGGAGATTAATCTGATTTTTGCTTCATGGCCGGTCCGAGATACTCCGGTGAAGGGTGGCTGGCACTGCTGGTGGTTTACCCATGATCATATCCGTCATCTGGTGGTTTCTTCAAATTCCTCAATTCTTTAATGACTGCTGCCGTGGTCCCCGAGGAAAAAACAATAAGCAGTGTATACTCCATGAAACTCCCCAGTCACTGTGGATTAACTAATATTAACTAATGGGGGAAGAAAAATCATCTTCGAGATCGGAGATTTGCTGAAGAGAATCTGCAAATGTTTCCATGGGATTTTCATGAAAAAAATCCCCCATGTTCAGATTTCCGGGCCAAAACCCCATATGTTCCCACGGATTTGTCGTTGATTTCCTTGATTCATCGAGGAACTTCGCTCCTGTCTCAGAATCGTACAAGCGATTCGCACGCTGAATACAACCGCGGCGGCTCAAGACCTCCGATATGTTTCGTGGCGGAAAAAAAGTACCCTCTGGTAATGGCTGACGTAGCTATTGAAAATCACCTTTTTTATGGGAAAATCAACTATTAATGGTCAATTAATAGTGGATTTTCCCATTAAAAATGGTGATTTTCCATAGCTATGTTAATTTACCAGAGGGTAACCAACCCAAGCTGCGTAATTTTTCAATGTCGCAACCTGCTGATTTCACCAAAAGCAAAAGTTGGGAAATTTACCATGAGAATTTACTTACTGGTGCTTAGATGTGCTTAGTAGGGAATGGGGGAATGACCCATAGTAAATTTACAATAATCATCGCATTCCTCCATTCCCTACGTTTAGCACCAGTAAGTTTAGATTCCATGGCAGTTTAAAATGCTGACTTGACCATTTTTTAGAATCGGATAAAGCTGTCCTGAATGGTGTAGCTGTTTGGAGCTAGTCTGTAGGATCTCTTTCAGATGGCCCACCAAAGTTAAACAGTTAAACACATCATGTCATTGAAGAACATTGACAGATAGCATTGCATAGCTTGACAGAAAAAAGCTGATTTACATCATGAGTTGATATCTGGTGATTTCCACAAGTTGTTGAACTTAGTTCCCTTATTGAACGGAGCTCTACATTTCATGGATATTAATGGACACTAGTGGATATGTGGATATATGGATATATGGCATATGTATATATATATATATATGGCAAGTATACATAGCTCTACATGTCATATCTTACTGGTGCTTAGCAGGGAATTTCGGGAATGATCCACAATAACTATCAATAATCATCCCAGCAACCCCCAGCAACCCATCCATTGGCCAAGCTTTAGCGATATTGCCTGTTGGGACGGTCCACAGAAGCAGTTCACTGCTACCGCCAGCAGCGCCAGCAGCGCCAGCAGCGCCAGCTTCGATCGATGCGCCATGGGCGACGAGAGATCGATGGCGCCAATTCGATGGCGCAGAAATTTCGACCGATAGAGACCCCGAGTTTGAAAAACTGCAGATTTCATGTTTCACTGGGAAAATTATATCAATTCACCTGAAATGTTGGGCTATATTGGGATAACTCGCCTTACAATTCCCATCATTGCAGGGTTCGGTCGCGACGTGAGGTCGTTATAGTATTTATAATTTACCCCGAGCTTCGGAATGGATCATCATGATCATCATGCAGAAAAAGCAGGAGAAATCAAGGAGATTGAAATGTCCCACCAAGAAACAACAGGCGCCATGAGATTTTCCCCTTGGACTCCAACTTGGATCGTGGATGGTAGCCTCTGGTCATGACCAACGCTTTGCGAACTTGAACAGTTTGCCATTTAGTTCGTTGATTTACCCACGAAAAATATCTAAAAATGGTGATTTTCTACAGCTATGTTAGTTTACCAGAGGGTATTGTGACCATTGTTTCCAGGCTGCTGAAGCCATGACGACAGAACGTTGGAATGCGAGGTGGTGTGACCTAGCGAAATTCGCAGATGGGAGTTGAAACGGTTCACCTGGAACGCCTTCGAAGTAATGTGGTTTAAACTATGTCATAAACCATCCCCCCAGTCATCACTATTCCCAATCATAGGTGGTTTATGATTGCTTTACCAACATTATTAGTCATCACCACTAATAACCATTAGTAACCATGAATAACCATATAATACCATTAATCACCATATATGGTTATATGGGACCATAAATCACCATTGGTTAAATAGATTTGATGGTACCATCTGGTTATTTAACATAGCCGTGGAAAATCCCAACCATAAATGGAGGTTTCTAGCTGGGAAAATCATCTATAAATGGGCCATCTATACCATGGCTATGTTAAATAACCAGAGGGTATATAATATATATATATATGAGTACATATCCCCATGTCCTATGATGCTATGATGCTTCCCATCGTAAACTCCACACCACATCGGCCATCGGCCCTGCACGCTGGAATTTTACAACTGCACAGCTGCCACCTCAACTCGTGAATGGCCGAAATGAAGATGTCTTCCAACTCTTCACCCAAAAATCACAAAAGAAAACATCCTTGACTCCTGAAATCCATGGTTTCATATGGTTTCTGATTTCACACGACCACTAGTTTTTTATGGTTGGTGAAATAAACCACCCTGACTAGCCATTCTGAAACGCTGATTTGAGGTTGCTACAATGAGCCACTCTGGATACAACACAGCGAGAAATGGAGAACCATCAGTCGTGGGCCCTTTGCTTTGGATTCCAGTGGACTTGCTGATGCTGACGGGTAAGAGAGTCGTCCCCAAGTATTGAGTTTGCTTATTGGGTTTGCCAACAGATCAGGCTATACCCACTGTGGATCTACCATGGCTAATCCTATAGCAATTTGAGGTACAGTACAAACAAGTCTTGTTTTTGATGGGTGTTATTTAACATGATTTGACATGCCCCATCTTTATATCAGGAAATCAACCAATGACCTACCAACCTTCAAAGTCAGCTACACAACTCACGAGTCCATTCATCCTCCGATAATCCTAATCTGGCAATGGGAAATCAACTCTTTTCAATGGGAGAATCACCCTAGAACAGTTTGCAATCTAACCTCTGGTTGTTGAGCATAGCAATTTGTCAGCCATGGCCCCTTTAAAACTTTAGTTCCATGATAAAAATCCTGATTTACTGAACTTAAAATGCCGATTGTTCAGTTCGTGAACCGTTCAATGAACAGAGGCTTGGCCGTCTCAGCGACAGGTTTGCTCCTCAGCGCCCCCCCCCCTTGGGCTGTCCGTACACGCTCCTTATTTCCACCACAGAAGAGGAGCCTGGTGGCAACGGGTGAAGTCAGGCTGGTGACCTCAAAGTTTGGACACGAAAATGAGTCATGAAGAAACATATGTCAATTGGTATAAATTGCGTCTATTTCTATATATACATACTTGGTGTGTGCACATACTAGTGGGTGTATATATATATATATATGTATATGCACCAGGCCCTGCCACCCCCCCCTCCCCCCCCCCATGGGATGGGTCCCATATACTGGCCCCATATGAGATCTTCCCCCTCCCCCCCCTGTGGTGTGGTGGGGGTGTGGCACTGTCCCCCTCCCCCCCCCTGTGGTGTGGTGGGGGTGTGGTATGGTATGTTGGGTATGCATGGTGTGTATGGTCGGTCTGGTATGGCATGTTTGGAAAGCATGGTATGTTTGGTATGTATGGTATGTATGGTATGTATGGTAGGTATGGTAGGTATGGTAGGTATGGTATGTATGGCATGAGTGGTTGGTATTGTATGGATGGTAGGTATGGTATGTAAGTCTGTTGGGTATGGTATGTTTGATATGGCAGTATGTATGGTCTGTATGGTATGTATGGTTACTATGATGGGCATGGAATATTTCCTATGTAAGGTAGGTGTGGTATGTATGGCATGTATGTTTGCTATTGTATGTATGGTAGGTGTGTCAATTACATTTCATATGTATTGTATGTATGGTATGTATGATAGATATGATAGGTATGGTATGCATGGCATCATTGACATGTATGGTAGGTACGGTATATGTTAAACACAGGTAGTGTTGTCAGAGTACACAAGTAGTAAATAGGAAGTAGATACAGTAGATACATAGCACATGTATATATGACTATAGGTAGCACGTAGGTACTTTGAAGGAGTATGTGTGCTACGTAGGCCGCCTAAAAGGTAGCATGTACTTAGTAAATGCGAGGCTGGTAGTCAGAAATGCTGCAAAGACCTGGCAAATACGAAGCTGGACCTCAGAAATGCTGCCAATAGCTTGCAAATAGAAGGGAAGGGGGGTGCTACCTGGGGACCCAACCCATGGGGGGGGGAGGGGTGGGTGGAGAGACGGAGGACGGGACCATATATATGTATACGTATGTATAAATGTGCATGTATATGTATATGTATATATATATATATATGTGTGTATATATATGTGTGTACAATATTAATATACAAGCATCTATACATGTGTATGATCGGCAGGAAAGAAACTCCAAATTCAGCCAGCCGATCTTGCCTACCACCCTTGAATAAAGATGCCCTAGCCCTAACCAACCTCCTACAGAATGGTTTTCCCCAGTGATGTGAATGTTGGTTTATAGACCCCATGAATACTATAGTCATATCTACTAGAAACCATAGTTATACTAGGTATAGACCACCTATCTCTCAACTGAACGCTATCGAACGGAGGCCCCCATCCTGTAACCCTGGGTACTAAGTCCCCCAACTGGGGAAACCCCAACTTGCGATTGAGTCATGACAGGTAGCATCATCTCGGTTCCCAAGAATTCCTGGAAATTGTACATCACCATGTTTGCTGGGAAGTAGAATGAAAAATCAATGGTCTGGATGAATAGAGAAAAAAATAACTATCACCATAGTTGGTCGGAAATATTGGAACATCAATTTTATCTGCATAAAAAGATCATTCACCAAGCTGTGCAGCTTGAACATTGGCCCATAAATCCCGCTCCTAAAATCCCAATCCAGAAATCCCATTGAAATCTCATAAAACTCGAATAAAACATCATCAAATCCAATAAAACATCCCAATTTCCCAATCCCAAATGGGGATGGGTCAAAACCCTGGTACCTAGTGAACCCCAAGTCATAGCTGGGATTTATGGATGTTTCATCCCACTAAAAATGTATCTATAGGTATTGACCCATACCCAAGGGCCAAAATACGCCGAGTCTTCAGTCGAGTTTTTCAGTTCGACTCCGGGTGCCTCGTATCGGCATCGTAGACCATGCTCCAAATTTCACCCAGCTCTTTGAGGTCCAGCGTGAAACCTGGAGCTCTGAAAATGAACTCAGTCATGGAAGATCACCACAGATATGAATGATAGAATGATATATTTATATTAGACATGTCTATATATACACATATATGTATATTATGTATGTATACTATGTATATATATATATATTATATATATATATGTTATATATATGTATGTATTATATATATGTGTGTGTGTATTGTATGTATATATATATATGTATTATATATATATGTATTATATATATATATTATATATATATATATATGTATTGTATATATATATGTATTATATATATATATGTATTATATATATATGTATTATATATATATGGCTTATATATAATATGTGTGTATTATATATATATTATGTGTATTATATATATATATATTATGTGTATTATATATACATGTACGAATTATATATATATGTAATATATATATATGTGTATTATATATATATATCCTATATATATAATTCGTACATATATATATATATGTATTATATATATATATCCGTATTATATATATATATTATAATATATATATATATTATATTTTATTATTATATATATATTCTCATATATATATATATATTCTATATATGTATGTATATATATATGTATGTATGTATGTCTGTCTGTATGTATGAATGAATGTATGTATGTACGTACGTACGTACATATGTATGTATGTATGTATATTATGGCTTATTGAGCACTGATATTTTTTTTGGATGCACCCCCAGGTCTTGAATCAACGGCTTGGTGTTGGAAAATCAACCCATTTTTCAATGGATCACTACTCAAGAGGACCCCCTCACTTTGTGGGGCTGAAACCTGTCAAAATCTAAGTTTTAGCTGGTCAATGGACTATATTCTATTCTACCAGAGCAAAAAGATAGCAAGTTGTACTAGTATCTAAAAAAAACTCAACGGTTGACCCAGTATATAGTTGTCGTCTATTTTTCAATAGTCATGATGTTGATCTGGTTGCTAGTTTTTGCAGGTCAAATCCTGGTTCGAAATCCAAGAATTGGAGGTGAACCTGGTCTTTTTTGGCAGTCATGGCATCATCACTGGATGATTAATGGTGAATAATAGTTACTGATGGTCAATGGTTGTTTGTAATGGTTATATAATAGTGATTCATCATCATCATCATCATCTCAATTTGTCCATCAGCCGATCAGCCATGCAATTTTCTATGAACAAGCTCAAAATAAACATGGTCAGTGAGTCAGTCTGGTAAACAATCGACCATCCTGACCATCCCACTTTACCATTGTAACAGTGGCCAAGAACCGATTCTTTTACGCCTGACACTGGCAGCGGCCAGGGGGTTCCCATGATGGATCTTACTGATCGCCATGAAAAACATCATTAAACTATCTATGTACTACAAGCCGATGCTCTTCAACCAGGGATTTCTTTGCGTTGCTTGGACGTTTCAAACGGCTCGACGAAAAAAACAACCCATTTTTTTTCAGCTTCACGGCGCTTTTCATAATCCCCCCATTTGTTGTTCGGAGATTTACCATGTTGAAATCCCATTGAATCCCTGCTGATGGGTCTAACATGGTCGAACACCTCCACTTCTCATTTGTCACAAACAAAAATCAACCATTTATCAATGGTAAGTAAGTCATCAAGATTACCATCTCATTTGGTGGGTTCCTGAAATGGTGGTACGTCAAAACCATGGGTTTCAATACTAAGTCATGGTCATCCATGACGACTGGATGATTTGGGGTACCCCCAATACTAATATGGTCTATGAATTTGGGATGATACTGGTTTAATCGCTGGGACTCTTACCTTCTAGGGTGGGATATTAATACGAACTTGGCAATATATATATATATAATGTGTGTATTATATATATATATATATATAACTAACCAACTTAAGGGACATTCACTTTCATTCACAATCATCAAGATCAACATATGAGAATCCCATGATGATATTCATCTAATCATTGAGAATATCATTGAATACTAACCATGATTAAATATGATAATTATCATTCACTATCATCACCACTATCATCATCTATATGAATGAAAGTCTCATTGAGAATCCCAGTTTTGCCACCAGTTTTGGTCGAGAGGCGCAGCGCGCCGCTGTTGACGTTGAGCGCGGCAAGGCCGTCGGAACCGCCACAGAGAAGCAGCGAAGGCACGGCGCTGGAACAGCTGAAGACCTGCGGAAGGGGAAGGACCACCTCCAAGTGATGGCCGTTTAGGGAAAACATGGAAAATGATGGAAAATCATAGGAAAAAAAGAAAAACATGGAAAACCATAGGAAAATCATAGGAAAATAATGGAAAATGATGGAAAACATGGAAAATGATGTAAAGAAATATAAGAAAATGATAGGAAAAACATGGGAAAATCATAGGAAAATAAAAGAAAAAAAAGGGATGATTGGAAAACATAGGGGAAATTATGGGGAAAGAAACATAGGAAAATGATGGGAAAAAATAGGCAAATGAGGAGAAAAACATGGAAAATACATGGGAACATGATAAGATAAACATTGAAACATGATGGGGAGGAAAATCAAAAGAAACTTTGGAAAATGACGTGGAAAAAACATGGGAAAAATGATAGAAAACGATGTCGATAGGATATACTAATATGTGTATATATATATATACAATCATATACATATTGTTAATGTATGTATGTATGTACGTACGTACGTACGTACGTATGTATGTATGTATGTGCGTGTATGTATGTATGTATGTGTGTGTCTGTATGTATGTATGTATGTATGCATGTATGTGTCTGTTGTATGTATGTATGTATGTATGTATGTATGTATGTATGTATGTATGTATGTATGTATGTATGTATGTATGTATGTGTGTATGTATGTATGTATGTATGTATGTATGTATGTATGTAGGTAGGTAGGTAGGTAGGTATGTATGTATGTATGTGTGTATAGATGTGTGTATGTGTGTATGTGTGTGTATGTTTGTATGGTTGTGTGTATGTATGTATGTATGTATGTATGTATGTATGGATGGATGGATGGATGGATGGATGGATGGATGGATGTATGGATGTATGGATGTATGGATGTATGGATGTATGGATGTATGGATGTATGGATGTATGGATGTATGGATGCATGGATGCATGGATGCATGGATGCATGGATGCATGGATGCATGGATGCATGGATGCATGGATGCATGGATGCATGTATGCATGTATGCATGTATGCATGCATGCATGCATGCATGCATGTATGCATGTATGTATGTATGTATTATCAATTTATAACTTGTGTAACCACTATTTCTGGATATCATATAGTGCGCTATGCCTGCAGATATTTGTTGGTGGCTCGGTCGTCCTGTAAATGCGCGTTTCTTGTGACGGAATTCCCATAGGCACGGATGGTTTTAGTGCATTTTTCTGTGTGTACGTCAGCTTTTGGGGTGGGGTAGGGGTGGGGTGGGGTTGGGAGGGTGGCTAATAACGTGACTTGGCACTTAAGCCACAAATGTTTCCTGCTATAGAGATGTGCTACATTACATTATGGGGTTGGGGCAGCAACGTTCACGTAAACTTGTCCAATTGATCTGCGAGACGAGCGGGCGTTGTTGGTTGGTAGGAATTCCAACATCAGTATGAATAACCCAGCACAACTGTCAACCTAAAAGGGTTGAGGCATGCTCGCTCTGTGGTGGTCTATTCAACAACCAAAACAACACTGCGGGTACAGAATCTGCGGGTAATCGGCCACACGCCACAACGAGACCAAAACGTTGAAGAAAGCGCGCCAGTTGGTGACTATCAGTTGGCCATGCTGTTCCATATTTGCTGCCTATGACGGCTAAGTTTCCATCGGTCACAACGCAGGTGTTTTTTCAGTGAATCCTAATCCTGAATGAAGGTTTGATCCAGTATCGAGCACTTGGATTTGCTGAAAAATGCACCAGATCCATGGTTTCTTGCTTGGTAAATGTTTAATTTGTGTTGATACTTGATTGTCTACCCAATCAACTATTGGATTTCCAACAATTTGGCCAAGTCAACCATGATATATATATATACATACGTGTATATATATATATATACATATATACATATATATATACCCTGTGGTAAACTAACATAACTATGGGGAAATCACCATTTTTAATGGGCAAATCAACTATAAATTGCCATTTTCAATAGCAAACAGTCATTACCAGGGGATATATTTCTTGGCCAGATCTCTAGTTCCATAAAATATCCATATGGCAAGACATTAGATGTCCCTTTATATTTATACCCCATTTATGATGGATTAAGTATACTGGTTATTATGGATATTTATGGATATTCCATATACCAAAGTTATGACATTTATGATGGATTAACTATACTGGTTGGTGGTTTACCTACCCCTCTGAAAAATATGAATCAGTTGGGATGATTATTCCATTCCCAACTGAATGGGAAGTCATAAAATTCCATGGTTCCAGTCACCACCAACCAGAAATGTTTGGTGTTCGACCCTCAAATATGCATAAATATGCCCCATATGTGAAAAATTTGCCACAGGTCCCCACCCCGAAAACGCAACCAGCAACTTCGCGCCTTTCCGATGCTGGCGTTGACAGGACCCCAGCGCAGGGCTCCGGTCTGCTGGTCGAGAGCTGACCTGGTTCGATTTGTGTTCGCCAGAATGTCCAGGTTACTCTTCGGCATGTTTTGTGGACTTGAGAAATACATCTACTTACTATGTGTACGCCACGTGTGTACGTACTTATGTATATATATAAATATATACTTATATTTGTATATGTAAATATATATATATATATGTGTAAGCAATGTATGTGCGCAGTTGTGCGCATGTATATAATTCTATATGTGTCCATCTCGACTTCTTCTCATCTATTCCTCTTCCTATTGTTGCCGCGTGCTTAAGCTTGCTTGGAAGCTTGTGATACAGGGTGAGTCGGTCCTCTTGTGCTTTTGGCAGCAAATATGCACATGCATAGATACACATTTGCCCATCAAACTGCCAATATGCATGTGTATATATATATATGTGACTATATACATATTACCCAGTTAGAGTGCTCCCGTATGTATGCATGTACCCATCTATTTTGCTTCAACCAGTTCAACCCCAACTTTTGGTCAAGTCACCACGTTGCTTAAATTCCAAGGTTTGACCCGTTCGACAATCCAAGCTCAAAAAAGGATCCGTGAAGGATCTAACTGATGTAACCATCAAAAATCCCTGAAAATTCACAGTTTGATGGTTAAATCACCATCTTTACAAAACTTCAAATGTTGGTCGGCCCAGTCACACTTGCTCCGACCAGCCGCCAGAGCCTAGGTTCCAGGTTCATCGGTCAGAAAATATGCCGTTGACAAGTGGCTGAATTAACTCTGGTTTATGGTCGATATAACGAACTAGATAACTATGGTATTCATGGGCTTTATAAACCAACTTACATAACTGGGGGGGGGGGCCATCCTGATACGCTTTTAGAGTTTAAACAACGAAAAAAGAGACACTCAATGAATCATAAAAAAATGGCGGCAGGGTCCTATCTTGCAACCATTCCTACAGTCGGATTTCCTACAGGACACCCCAGGCTTCTGTCGACTCTCACACTGGGACTGTCGACTCATAAACCCAGCTTCTGAACTTCCCACATATAGGAAGAAATATGCTATATCTGCTATATGGAGGTTTCCTAAGTCATAGGGGTACTCCCAGTCCTCATCCATTTATAGATGGATTTTCCAAGAAATAAACCATCCATTTGGGGTACCCCCATTTATGGAAACCCCCATATAGCCAAATCTTTCAGGATCAATCTTCATCTTTCGTTGAAATCCAGAGGTGCCATTGTCACCCAGTGAAAATGGGCAGTTCCAAGCTGAATTGCCTAGTCCCCAAAAAAAAAGTCAATCAAGACCCTTATCCCATTTATTTTCTCTGATCGAAAACAAAAACTCATCGAAACCACTTGTCACAACAGCCGGGATCACCGTTTTGTCAAAAACAGTGGGTCTTTAAGTCTTTACGTCAACAAAAACGAAGGCCAGGCCAGGCCAACAGAAATGCGAATTGAATCAACAAAAAAAATTGGATTTGAGCAACAAAACAGGGCATCATCCCATATGGATCAGCAAAGCCTCGTTTTTTTGGGTCGGAAATATCCACTGAGGCATCTGGCAGATGACTAGGTCATCAACCAGTTCAAGGCCCCAGACCTCAGTATCAAATGGGGGAAACTCATGGGGGGATCCCCAAGCTCGCTGGATGGTTTATTTCATGATCCCAAAAATAAAATGGATACATCGTATTAGAAATCAATAATTGTGGGGGCTTCCATAAATAGATGGTAGCCCAATAGCTGGATGGTTTAGTGGAACATCCCATCAACATGGATTATTTGCGGGTAGCCCTATGACTTGGGAAACCTTCGAATTGATTCCTGAAATCATCTTAAATCACCTAAAATATGTTGCCGTGCTTTCTTGGTTTATTAAAGAAAAATCAAGAAAAGCCTGTTCGAATGCCTAGTTCCCCATCGAACTTCCCCGTCTTCCCATCTCCGCCTCCTCAACGGAAGAAGAGCTGTGCCAAAGCATATCACCTGGAGTCAACTGCAACTGTTGGGTGAATTGACCAGCCGGGCTGCGCCAAGGAAAACCACCACAACTGGGACGTTTCCACTATTTTCCCACAATGGTTCCACTATGTTCTACTATTTTCCACTATCCACTAATGGATCATCCACATCTGTATACTAATGTATGTATATATATCATATATACTAATGAATCATATCATCTCCGAATGATTCCATCCCCGCAGCACTTGTTCGGCACCTGTCTCGCTTAAAGCTGCAACCTGCGGTGAACCCAGTTCCTACCAAGCAATGCCGGCCTCGCCCTCCAGCTGTCAAAAAATTGTTGGGACTCCCATCATCTGTCACTATGTGGTTAGATGATGTTAGATGTTTATATTTATATGGCCCATGAAGATCTCACAAAAATGAATAAAACTGTAGGAAATGGGAAGTTACAACATTTCCAACACGAGATTGGAGGCCATTTGGGGATGATTTCCCTTACTAACCATCATCTATTGTTAGGTCATGGCTGGGATTGCTATAATTTACCCAGATCAGATGCATCCAAAATATTCCAAATGCCACAGAGGCAATGGAACAACCTGAGAGAAGGCCAGCTACGGGAATAATTCCCCTATACATTCACCATGATTCCAGGGTTCGGGAGAACAGTGAGGTCATGTTGAAATTCACCCAGGTGTATATGCCAATATCAATATCAATATATATATATATATATGCACGTATATATATATATACACATATGTATATACCTATATATATACCTATACATACATACATACATACATACATACATTAATTACATACATACATACATACATACATACATTACATACATTACATACATTACATACATTACACACATACATACATACATACATGCATGCATGCATGCATGCATGCATGCATGCATGCATGCATACATACATACATACATACATTACATACATTACATACATACATACATACATACTTACATTACATTACATTACATTACATTACATTACATTACATTACATTACATTACATTACATACATTACATACATACATTACATACATACCATACATACATACATACATACATACTTACATTACATTACATTACATTACATTACATTACATTACATTACATTACATACATTACATACATACATTACATACATACCATACCATACCATACCATACCATACCACACCACACCACACCACACCATACCATACCATACCATACATACATATATACATATATATATATATATTATATCCCATCACCATTTCCCCCCGTGAAATCACCCCGTTTTCCCGAGTGATGGACGGTTTTTGAACAGCCAGTGATTGACTTAGGCCCCATGCCATGCCATTTTCGCCCCCGCAGAAGGCCACACCTGCCAGGTGTTCCGCCGGTTGCAAAGTTGGATCAAAGATCTTCAGTTTCAACTTGAAACAGCAAAAAGGGTTTTTTTTTGGGAAGTGGTGACTTAGGGAAGTGTTGACCTAGGGAAGCGATTACTTAGGGAAGTGGCAACTTGAATTTTATCGAAAGTTTTCTTCAAACAAGTTATCCAACTATTTTTGATATCAAATAGTTGAACAGTTCTTTAAAAAATATTAAATAGCTGTTAATATTGAGTACAGGTTGTAAATTTTGTCAATGGTTTGTCCATCTACCAAAGGAACATTTTTTTGGATGGGGCCCCCAAACCTTATGTTTGTTGGTTTATAACCCCATCTAAACATATTGTTACTATACTATATTATACTTACATTGCCCAACTATTGTTTAGATGGGGTTATAAACCAAATCATGTTTATTATACTTACAAACATAACTATCACACACTATTGTTTTTATACTTACATTGCCCAACTTAGCTAACGAACTGGGGCCCCAAATTCATTGGACCATTGGATTTCAATCTTTAGTCAATGGGAATTTCAGGAACCTAAATTGGAGGTACCTACCATATATAAGGCCTATTTTGCAGGGCTAAATTTCAGGGGATATCCCTCCAAAATATGGCCCAAAATATGGTACTAACGTACCTCCATCTGTTGGATCCTGGAATTCCCATTGATTTCGTGAAACTGTATGAAACTCTTCTTTTTCTGTGATAAACCCTGGCTGCCATGGTCACCCCCAAAAATTCAGCTGAAATTGGTCACTTTCCCCAGAATTCGCAATGGGATGATGGGCAAATCAATCATGACTCCCATGGTGACTGGGATGGTTTACTATTGGTTTATAACTCCAATAACTATGGTTTATAGGTGATATATCGAACTAGTTAATGGGGTTTATAAACCAATTTATAACGTTTGGGGGCACCACCTTGTATTGACTTTGCCACGGAAAAATTCCCATCCGAGATATTCCAAGATATCAGATTTCCCCAGTTCCATCGGATTCGGTTCGCGCCTCCATCGGGCTGCAAGGCCGTTACAATCTGGCCGCAAGACATCACGTTGCTTGTGGCAACGGTGCTTGTGGATTTATTGGTGGAGATATTCGGATATTTCATGATATTGCATGATATATCCGACAGTTGAACATCCCCCAGTTATGTAACAGTTGGGTGTTTAGTATGTTATCCCATCTAGTTCGATAAAAAATGCATGACTCCAACGACCTCTGCCAAGGATGGGGCACCACCGTCCAGTTTCTTAAGGGGTTCTCATGGTGAATCTGAAAGATGCCTGCCAAAACGTCGAGTTTTTGTTGCTGGATAGGAGGGTTCCTACCATTGAAATCGCAAACGATTAAAGTATTAAAAATGTATTAAAGTATTAAAGTATACTAAAGTATCTAACCAAGGTTGACCCAGTACTGTGGTAATGCCAAACATCAAGATTCCAGAGTCTCCAGAGTGTTTGTAAATCACCTCAAGTTATACAACTGTATGACTACCATCTGGTTATTTAACATAGCCATGGAAAATGGCCCATTTATAGATGATGGTTTACCTATTAAAAATGGTGATTTTCCATGGCTATGTTAAATAACCAGAGGGTATATCATACTATATCAATATCATCTACTCTCTGGTGATTTAGCAGTTCGCTATGGTATAGATGGCCCTAATCGAAACAGATGATTTTCCCAGCGAACGAAACCTCCATAGACATAGATGGATAAACTCCAGTTCGCTATGTTTGTTAAATAACCAGATGGTAAATCCCATAGAAATAGATGGTTTATAGATGGTTGACCTATTAAAAGTTGTGATTTTCCACTTTTCTCGATGCTTTTCCCAAGGTTTTCGATGGCGCATTCAAGGGCGTCCTGGGACAATCTTACGACGGTCACGGCCTTTTAAAACGATCACTGGCTATCCATATCTAAACAATTCACAACCCACAAACTACATAGAAAAGTTGTGAAAATATGAAGTTAAGTTATGTTTGTGGGTTGTGAATTGCTAAATGATTTAAATGCGCATGCTCTAGAAACGCATATCATAACAACTTCAGAGCATTCGCATGCATTCGGTGATAATTCATCTTACCTCGTCATTATTTACACTTATTCATTCGCGAAGACAAGTATCGTTGTCGACAAAACATTTAGGGAATTAAAAAGTGTGTCATGATAGAAACTTTTTGAATTTAAAATACCGTACAGTAGGTGATTGAATTAAATCATACAATTGACCTCTATCGCTTGTTGTTTAATCATGTAGCTGGAAACTTTTAGTAGCTCCTTACCTCCCCAATCCTCCCCATTTTACCACCACCAGATACTTGGTTAGTTTGCACCAAAACCATGTCTTTGGTTCTCAAAAATCCCATTTCTTGGTGCTAGAAATCCGTAAAACCTCCCCACCCTCTGGTAAACGTTTACCTAACTATGGAAAATCACCATTTTATACTATTTCCATGGCCAGCCATGTTCAATAGTTTTTTGTATGTTTACCAGAGGGTGTATCCCATTAATATCCCATTGAATCACAATCACAATCCCATGAAATCACCACAAAAATCTATAAATCACTATCAATCTCCATGAATTCTCCATGAAAAAAACAATGTCCCCAGGATCGGAAATCTTCAGTGAAATCCTCCAGGGCGGCTCCAGCGCTCCATCTGGGCATTCCGTGCATATCGACCCACTTTGGGATCCGTGGCCCATCGCCGGGCACCCGACCTGTGACACATGGAGCCCATGTTGATATGGCGGGCGGCTACCATTTACTTACTGGATATGAATGGACATTAATGGATATGTGGATATATGCTATGGCATATAGTTATATATATATATATGGCAAGTATAGATAGCTCTACATGTCATATCTTACTGGTGCGTTTTACTTAGGGAATTTTCGGGAATCATCCATAATCACTAGTAATAATATGTAGTAATCATCCCAGCAACCCCCAGCAACCCATCCATTTCCTACCAAGCACCAAGTTTAAGTATCAGATGAAATGACTATTGGAGGAATTCCCCCCCTAATTTTTATAAACCAAGGTTTAGTCTCATCCGGGGTTGACATTATAGGATGGCTGTCTATAACTGTGATAAAAAATGGGCCATCACAGTTAAATAGTCTCCCCTTTGGTAGTTGGACATCATAGGATGGATGTCTATAAATGGTTTAATCATCACTCAGCCAAAGTTCCTCGAACTAAATGGGCCATCTATACCAGTTCGCAGAAAGTCACAAAGGACCGGAGGCAAATTGAGATACAAAAGGTCTGGTTGACATCAGCCAATAGCCTGATCCGAAGCATGTTCGACCCCTCCATGGCGAGTTTTGGGTTTTGAAGTTTGATGAATCAAATAGGCCCCGTGTGAATCCAAATAGATTCGAAATTCGCTGATTTCGTGGTTTACAATCGCCACGGTTCTCTAATTGGTGGTTTCAACCCCCCTGAAAAATATTAGTCAGATTGGATCATCATCCCAGCTATTGGGGAAATCAAAGGCATGTTACAAACCACCAAACTGTTCTTATGTTTCTTGGCTGAAAAAAACATTTTCACACTTCAAATCCCTTCTTTTTTTGTTAACGTGCCCGGCTCTCCATTTTCTTCGGGGAATATGGATACCGCTCCAAAACGATCCATCCACAACTAGTCGATCAATTGAAATCCCAACCTTCAAATCTGTGTTAAATCACTGGCTCAACCTCCTAAAGTCAGATTATATCAATTTGGGGTCCGAAAATGTACCCTCTGGTAACCTAACATAGCTATGGACAATCACCGTCTTTAATAGGTAAATCAACTATAAATGGGCAATTTTCAATAGCGAACTGTTAGTCATTACCAGAGGGTAAATACCCCAAATCATCCAAGTCGACCATGACTTAGCATTGAAACCAATACTAAAATACTAAAAACCCATGGTGACTTGAGATACCCCAATTTTAGGAAACCTCCATATCATTTTGTGTATCCCAATTTAGGGTTTCCTAAAAAGTTTCCTGAATATACTTGGGATACACAAAATTGGGTTTCCTAAATTGATAAAATACATACATTTTATAGATAAAAATCAGTTGAATCCCAATTTTGTTGGGGTCAATCTCCACATTCCAACGGCGAGCCACGCAGCGTCTAAACACGCCACCAGGGCTGTGTGCTCAGGCCTGTCAAAAACGGACCCCCGAAAACCAATTTTGATGTGCAAAAATGTATTGGGCATCATCACAATATATATATATAATATTAAATAATATTATATAACACTATATAATATATTATATTATATCATATAACATAATATAATATAATATAGTATAATAAAATATACTTTAAAATACAAATGAGATATAATATGAAATATAATGTGAAATGAAATATAATAATATAATATATTATATTATAAAATATAATATAATAAAATAAAATATAACATAATATAATATAATATAATAAAATAAAATAATATAATATTATAATATGATAAAAAATCTATAATAAAATATAAAATATAATATATAATATAATATATATAGTATACTATAATATAACTTAATATATTTTAATTTAATATAATTTATTTTTTAATATAATATAATACAATATAATATATAATTTTTTACAAAGTATAAAATATAATATAATATAATATAATGCAATACAATATACAATATATAACATAAAATAAAATATAATATATAATATAATATAGTATAATATAATATATAATTTAATATAATATATAATAAAATATAATTTAATATAATGTAATATAATATAGTGTAAAAAAACATAATACATATTATAATATATAATATAAAAAATAAAATAGTATAATATAATATGATATAATGTAATATAATATAATATAATATAATTGAATTTAATATAATAAAATAAAATATAATATATAATAAAATCTAAAATAAAATATTTAATACAAAAAATATTTAAAGAAAATAAAATATAAGATATAATATAATAGAATATAATATAGTATAGTATAATAAAATATGACATATAATATAATATAATATATAATATATAATATACAAAAATATAATATCATAAAATATAGTATAATATAATATAATATAATGTACTATAATATATAATTTCATATATTATATCATATAATGTATAATCAAAAAAAATAATTAAATATAATATAATTTAATATAACATAATATAGCATAATATAATTTAATAAAATATAATAAAATATAATATATGTAATAATATATAACAAAATAAAATATACTATAATATAATATACTATAGTATAGTATATTATAAAATATAATATAATATAATAAAATATAATATAATATAATTTAATATATATACATACACATATTGCAAAAAAGATAGTGGAAAACATTGGAAAATCATTTATCTGAAAAACAAATCTGATATCCCCACTAAATGCTGGAGAATGGTTCATAAAACATCCCCAGTTGGGGGGTTACATCCCCATATTCGGACACTTGGGGATAGTTACCCCTACCCTAACCATCTTTCCAGTGATGTGGCAGTGAGATTCCAAACCAATCCAAACCACCTCTTGAAAATGGGTAGATTTTCTGAACAAGGAACAACAATAACTTAGGATATCTACATATAATATCATATAATTATACATATATACATAGATTCATAGATATCTACATATAACTCGAGATATCTAAAAAAACTCGGGAGAGCTACATATAAATCTGATATGTGCTAGGGGATATCTACATATATATATATTGTGCGGAAGCTGCACGCAACCATGGTGATCATAAGTTCCTCATTCATTGTTTTATGGACAAGTGGCGCTGAATTTCATCGGAGAGGCGAGAGGGCTGATCCACAATTTTTTTCGGGTCTGGGTCAAAACTGTGCAAATCATGGATACTTTTATTTCCTAAAAAAAAATAGTTTTTCCTATGAAGAAGAAACAAATAACCATACATAACCTGTTAGCCCAAACTGAGAAGCCAGAAAGTATTGCATCTCATTGACCAACAAGACATCACACGCAATTGTGGGTCCTCCTCAGAAACAGGACGATTTTGGTCCCAATTTTGAATCATATGTATCTCATGGAAGCTCCATCATCAAGTAATTAAATATTCGCTCTTCAGGTTCACATTTCAGATGAAAGACAGTTTGCCAAGGGGAATGATGGCCCATTTAGTGCCCTGATCTGCCCTCCGGTCATCAAACATGGTTTGCCGGAAAATCACGTTTTGAAACTGATGTGTTAAGGGGAAAATCACGTAATAAATGGATGATGTTTCCTGCTAGCTATGGAGCTGATGACACTAAAGGTTACTTATGTTGTTTTACATGGTGAAGTTCCAAAGCTACCATAGCTACCAAAGGCTCATCCACAAACCCTTCACAGACCCCGAGACAATACCCCAGTTTGCTACGGACAAATTGCATCATGTTTAGAAAAGGCGAATTATCATAGCTACGTTAAATTACCATTTTGGGTATCATCGATTCGTTTCGTGATCTTCTGAGTTGTTCAATCCTTGGATGCCGGATATCTACTAATCGATATGTCAATATGTAAATATATATATATGCATGATGCATGCATGCATGCATGCGTATGGATGTATGGATGTATGGATGTATGAGGGAAGGATGTATGGATGTATGGATTTATGGACGTACTACGATGATGATGATGATGATGATGATGCTGATGATGATGATGGTGATGGTGGTGGTGGTGGTGTTGATGGTGAGGATGAGGATAAGGATGAGGATGAGGATGATGATTATGATGATGGTGATGATGATGTCTATGACGTTTTTGATGTTTATAATGTTTATGATGGGTGATGATGATGATGATGATGATGGTGATGGTGATGATGGTGATGATGATGATGGATGATGATGGATGATGGATGATGGATATTGGTGATGATGATGGTGAGGAAAATGATAATTGTGATGATGGTGATGATGGTGATGGATGGTGATAATGATGAATGATGAATGATGATGGTGGGGATGCTGATGAAGATAGTGATGATGATGATGATGATGATGATGGACAATGATGATGATGATGATGATAATGATGATGATGATGGTGATGATTATGGATGATTATGGATGATGATGATGATGCTGATTTTGTTGCTGTTTGTAGAGATGATGCATGATGATGGTGATGATGGTGATGATGATGATGATGATGTTGATGACGATGATGGTTGTTGATGATGAGGATAATGATGATTTTTGATCATGATGATGATGACGATGACGATAGTGGTGCTGATGATGCTGATTATGACTGTGATGATGGTGACTATGATTCTGATGATGGTGATGGATGATGATCATGGACGATGATGATCATGATGATGATGTATAATGATGATGATGATGATCATGATCATGATCATGATCATGGTGATGTGTGATTGTGATGATGGATGGTGATGTTGGTGAGGATGACGATGATGCTGATGATTGTGATGACGGTGATGATGATGCTGATGATGTTTCTGATGTTTGTAATGTTTATGATGGATGAAGGAGATGATGATGATGATGATGGTGATGATGATGATGATGAATGATGAATGATGGTGATGATTATGGTGATGATGGTGGTGATGATGGTGATGATGGTGATGATGATGATGATAATGATGATGATGATGATGATGGGGATGATGGGGATGGTGATGGTGATGATGATGATGATGATGATGATGATGATGATCGTGTTCATGATTGTGATGGTGATGATGATGATGGTGATGATGATGGTGCTGATGATGGTGAGGGTGATGGTAATGATGATGATAATGACGATGATGATGATGATGGTGATGATGGTGATGGTGATGGTGATGGTGAGGGTAATGATGATGATGATGATGATGATGATGGTGATGGTGGTGATGATGGTGATGATGATGATGGTGGTGATGATGATGATGGTGATGATGGTGATGATGATGATGATGATGATGGTGATGGTGATGGTAATGATGATGATGATGGTGATGATGATGATGATGATGATGATAATGGTGATGGTGATGGTGATGATGATGATGATGGTGATGATGATGATGATGACGACGCTGATGATGACGCTGATGATGACGCTGATGATGGTGATGATGATGATGATGATGATGGTGATGGTGATGGTGTTGGTGATGATGATGATGATTCAATTAATTTATGCCACCTTGATTCGGATACCTCCCAAAGATTTGAACTTACTCGGTCCAATTCCGGCCTGGCCCAACTGCCACCGCAAATGACATGGGAAGCGCCCGTGCAGATGGTCCAGACCTGGTCGATAGAAGTGACTAGTAACCCCCAAAAAGAAATCGAAAATGCTGCAATTGATCACTTTAGGATGGTTGCTATGACATACTCTATCTATTAAAAAAACAATTCAATCAGAATCACCATATTTTAAGAGTGGAATTTACCAACTGAAAGGATCTCCACTTGGGGGTTACAGCATAAGTCCCAGCCTCTCTGATCCAAACCGGAAAACAAAGCAGGGGGAAGTCTCTGCCAATGGGGCATTGAAGATTTCTTGATGTATGTTGCTACATATGTTAACATACTGTGGATGGTGGCGAAATCCTGTACCAACTGTGAATCATTGGATTTCAGGAGAAAAACCATCTACCAACTGCAGGATTTTTGAAAACCCATTCACAGTATGTTGACACATCGAATTTCAGCGTGTCTTTCCACCATTTTTTCGTGAAAATCTGCTACAGATTTGTGATTTTCTGAGAAGTTTTATCAACCATGGGACCATGAAGTCTGAGTAAATTGGCTAAGAAATTCCCAATCAAAAACTTGAAAAAGTTGGGAATGTGTATTGAATAGTATTGACATATCAAATAAATATTGGGAGAATTCCCCTGTACATGAACACCATTCCAGGGTACCTGAGGTCGTGATTCAGTTTACCCGAATTCAGCTTGTAGAGATCACCCTGGTGACAAGCCCTGGTTTGGACCAACCCCAGAAAGAAGAGAAAGTCAAATCCTACGCAAAGTGAGTAGGGAAATATTTGTGTATCCTTTTGGGGTATGATGTGTTTTTTCCCCTGGTCTTTTGAAGGAAATATCGTGCACATACCGAGGTGCAGACTGCTCCAATGCCCGAATCCACGCAATAGCCTCGCTTTTTTTCAGCGAGTTGCCAAAAACGGATGCCTCTTTAGTGGTGAAATTCCATGTGGGGTTGTAAATGCAAGCCCTGGACCAAGTGTTTGGATGACCCTTCAGATGCACTTCGGGAAACTCCCAGAAGGACGTCTGGGCCCGGGGGCCCTCAGAGATAGGTAGAATATGGTAGAGTAATATACAATACAGTACCTTTCGGTGGTCAAACATGTGCAGCTGGGAAATCTCCGAACTAGCCATGGAGGTTGGTTTTTTTGAATCGCTGGGAAAATCGTCGAAGTCCTGGGGATTCTTCACCAAGCCATGTATGATTAGAGGATAGTATACTACGATAAGGTATGATAAGGTCAGGTATGACATCATGTTCCATGATCTTTGGTCTCCTCCAGGATGATCATTCTGCTGCATTCTAATGTCATTCAGACCGCTGTGGAATTGGTAGGGTTCCATTTTCATAGCAGATCACCATTGCGGGGAACCCAAATTAATCAACCAGGGTTTATTGATCCTGGGTTGACATTACATGGTCTTGGGTCACTTTAGGGTGCAGTACCAATGGTGAATTTTCACGTGCAGAAAATGAATTTAATATGAAGCAAACAATAAATTCCTTATTTGCCCTGTTGAATTTAGATCCCTTGTTGAGACAACATCCTCTTTTTCCCCTACAATAATGAAATGAATTCCCAGCAATCCCTGATTTTTTTCGTACTGGTCCATTCGTTTTGGGTACTTGGATGTGCATCCAATTGGATCTGTGGTTTATAATCCATATTTAACCCATATATATATATATACATTTATATAATAGGAATATGAACAAAATAGACGGAATATTTAAAAGTTGTACAAATATATATATATATGTTCCATCTATAACTTTTTTCACCAATTTACTAAGCGGGGCCCGCACGATGGGATATACCACCCGTCACCCATCCATTTTGCGCTGACGCCCGCGACGTGCAACTCCACTTTCGGCGTCGACACCTGTCTCTTTCGTAACGTGTCTTATCCATGGCTGATTTGCGTCTAAATAGTTCGATATTGATAAGTTAGCTATTACCAATGGCCTATGTAAGGGACTATCCCCACGAAATATGGCCTTATATGGTACAGTACCTCCTTTTTAGGATCCTCAAATTCCCATTGATATTGGTTTATATGGATATGGGTCACAATTGGGTACCAACAATGGATGGCTAATACTCAAAAGACTAAGCCATCTGTGGTCCAGTCTTCCTGTCTTGAATTTTGACACCCATATCATTGTAATAGCTAAGGGTGCGCCGAGGGTCACGAATAGATGCTTCCCTCTACAGAAGGTACCCTCTGGTAAACGTTTACATAACTATGGAAAATCACCATGCTATTCATGGGTAAATCCACGAACTAAGTCACCATTTTTGGTGGGTAAATCAACTATTTCTATGGCCATTTTCAATAGCAACCTGTCAAATTACCAGAGGGTATATCCCATTAAAAACCCATTGAATCACTATAAAACCCCATGAAATCACTATAAAATCCCATGAAATCACTATAAAATCCCATGAAGTCGCTATAAATCACTATCAATTTCCACTAAATCGCTATGTCAGTCATTACCAGAAGGTATCACCTGCGCCATGTGGGTCATGACCTCAATGGGAAACCTGGAACCTTCGATCGGTCTGCACCACATCAGTATCCAACGACAATGCTAAATATCTACAAATTTACACAGATACATACATCTATATACATATACATATACATATACATATACATCTACATATACATATACAGATACATGTACATATACATATACATATACGTATCCATATACATATACACATACATTTACATATACATATCCATATACATATGTAATCATATATCATGCCCCCAAGTTATGTCCACCTTTGTAGGGAAAATGAATATTTCAATCATCAATCATTCTTGGGGTAGCCTAGTGGTCCAGCCCCTCAACTCCAGTAACATCCTGACCAAGCCCCGGGTTTTTCACACAGGGCACCTGCCACTTTGTGTGCCTGGACTGTCAACAATGTTGTTTTGGGACAAAACATCAGAAAAGTCATCCTTAAATTGCATGGTCAATCTTTGGTAGTCCACAATTTAATTTTCATTTTTGCTGCTTGGCTGGCCACTTGTTCTGCCTATCCACTTGGTTGGGTGTCATCAGCTCGATGCCCTGAAAATGCGAACGAAACCTCCATGGCCCAGGGATCTCTCAGCGGCCCGCTATGTTTGATGACACCCGAGGGTAGATCACAGGAGGCCATATAAATGTGTATCAGTACATATATACATATACATATATATATGTATATATATATGTGTGTGTATATGTTGTACGTATATATGTATTTATGTATGTGTATATATATATGTATATATGTATATACATGTGTATGTATTTATGTATACATGTATATGTATGTGTATATATATATATATATGTGTATATATATGTATGTAAATATATATGTATATATGTATGTATATATATATATGTATGTATGTATATATATATAAATATGTATGTGTATGTTTATACATATATATATATATGTATGTATGTGTATGTTTATATACATGTATATGTGTATGTATATGTATATGTATGTGTATATATATATGTATGTATATGTATGTGTATATATATACAGATATACATGTATAGATAGATGGATAGATAGACAGGTAGACAGACAGACAGATAGATAGATAGATAGACAGATAGACAGACAGACAGACAGATAGATAGATAGACCGACAGACAGACAGATAGATAGACAGACAGACAGACAGACAGATAGATAGATAGATAGACAGATAGACAGACAGACAGACAGATAGATAGACAGACAGACAGACAGATAGATGGATAGATAGATAGATAGATAGACAGATAGACAGACAGACAGATAGATAGATAGATATAGATAGATATAGATAGATATAGATAGATATATATATATACACAATATGGGGATGTCTCATCACCTGACTAAGTCTTCGACCGATCCGCCGCCGCCGTAGATGGCCGAGCTCGTCCCAGAAGACCAGGCCACACGGGAGTATCTGACGACATGGTGAATCTAAAAGATACATATCTCTACTATGTAATAAAGATAGAATAACAATAGGTAACATTTGGATATTATCAATCTTGGATATTGGGACATTACCCTCCGGTAAACTAACATAACTGTGGGAAATCACCATTTTTCATGGGTAAATCCACGATTTCTATGGCCATGTTCAATAGCTATGTTAGTTTACCGGAGGGTATATCTATTTGCTATGCGTTTGATTAAAACACTTGTTAGCCAAAAGTTGACAACCAAAAAAACTCGTGTTTAGCTGGTGAATGGACTGATTTTATCACTGAGTGCCCGCGGAAGTTTCAGGCCCGCACTCTCCCACGCCAGCATCCTTGGTGTAGCTGGAATCGGCTACCCCCAAACTTGGGAATCTGGAACTCATGAGGAAGGCATCTACCATAATCTTACTGGTGCTTAGTAGGGAATGGGGGAATGGGATGATTATTACTAGTGATTACCCTCATTCCCTGCTAAGCACCAGTAAGTAATTTGAGATCTATCCTGGTTTTCCCACATGGTCTTGACGCGGTGGCGTGCCTACATTGGCCGGCTCTTTTTTCCCATACCGCCCACTCGGACAGGCCACTAGGGTCCAGAGGGACTTCTCGCCCTGCAAAGCCGAAACCTCAGAGATGAAATCCTGGTGGGAAAAGTGAACCTAGGGTACCGAAAGGGATCAGGATTGGACAAGCTGTCTTGTCTCATGTAAAGCATAAAAAAGGAGGTGGCATCACCCGCTAGTGCTGCTGCTGGACAAGCTGGAGAACCATTTCCAGCGAAGTGAAGGATTTTTCCCCAGAAGCAGCAAAAATATCTTCCCATCTCCTGTTTTCCACTTATTATTAGCACTGCTAAGTAGTCATATGTTGACGACATAAAACCGCTGACCGAGATTGAGGCTACAAGGTGAGGTAGGCTTAGAAGCCCAATCCAACAGTTCCCCCATAAGTCCAACAGCTCACCATTTCTGAACTCAGTCTCACCTTTTTTTGCCTTCACTGAGGTCGCCAAAAACGATCAAAAACTCACAGTTTTGCAGGTGAAATCCAATTTCTTTGAGACTTGCATCCCGAAATCTCTCACGTTTCATACTTCAAGAAACACCATTTTTTGGTGCTGGTAAATCAACTGTTCCCATCTCGCATACACCCCATCAGCCTACCTAAGAATCTAAGCGCCCTGACATTGCCGGTCCAACCGCTGGCGCAAAGCCTCAGGTGTTTTGATGTCTGTTCACCAGCATAGTATTTTTCAATACATCTGCGGTACATGTGATGTATATTTGCATGAATATGTTGGATAATGTATATTGCACCTGTAATACACTGAAGTATGGTGCATATACATCCATATATGTATATTGTGCCTATATGTGCAAAATATACACATATATGTGGCTATATACAATGCCAGATCAATACAGTTCACGTGCAATTATATGCCTTTACATTAGTGCATGATGTGGACTCAGCAAAGGAAACGTGCACCCAGTGCTTTTAAACATGGCGGTGTCCAGGTGACGATTCTTATGGGTAACAACGGATCCGACCATCATTGCTGATGACCAAAGGGTACATCATGGGTAATGTCCCTGGATCAAATCCCATTGAAGTGATGAAAAATGCCCATGTTTTTAGTGTTTTCAACGGTAATCTATCTGGTCTACCTTCATCCTCCCACGTTTTCCCCAAAAACCGAGCCCAACGGCGCGAGATTTGACGCAGGTTTCACTGCCACGTTTGAGATGGAATCCTGTGGAACACAAAATGGCGACTTCGCATAGGCTACCAATAGAGATGTGAGGCTATCATCAACAATAGTTTGGCCGATATCCTTTAAACAAAATGCAGATAGCGCATCAATGGATGGATATACATATATATATAAATACAAACAAAAAATACATAATTTTATATGAATTATGAGCTATATATATATTATATTTATTTTGTATATTAAAATGTATATATATATATATGAATTTAATAAATGCAATATATATAAAATAAAATATTTAATATATCTAATATATAAAATAATATAATATAATATAATATAATATATATAATATAATATAATACAAAAATACATTATATAATATAATATATTATAATATATAATATATTATAATATATAATAATATATTTTATTACAATACAATATAATATAACATAACATAATATAACTTAATATTATACAATATGATATAATGAAATAAAGTACAATAAAAAATCATAGAATAGAATAGAATAGAACAGAATATGATAAAATATAATATTATAAAATAAAATATAATAGAATAAAACAAAATACAATATAATATAATACAATATAATATAATAGAACAAAACAAAACAAAATATAATATAATATAATACGCTATGATATAATAAAACATAATATAATATCATATAATATAATATATTACAATACAATATAATATAACATAACATAGTTCATTTAATATTATACAATATGATATAATGAAAAAATATAATATAATAGAATAGAAAAGAATAGAACAGAAAATGAAAAATATAATATTATAAAATATAATATAATATAATATAATAAATTTTAATACAATATAATATAATACAATATAATATAATATAATACAATATAATATAATATAATATATCATACAAAATATCTATATGATATCGATAAATGATATATGATATATATATATGGAGGTAATATATATATATATAGATAATATATATATAATATATAATTAGATAATTTATAGAATATATATCATATAAAATAATTAACATATATAATAGATATAATATAGAATAAATATATTATATACTGAATATATTATAATATAATATATATATATATTATGTATATATTATATAAAATATAAAAGATATTATACATAATATAGTATATAATATATCGTAATTGTAATATTGTAAATAAAATATTATATATATGTATCAAATATGTCTTCATCAAAATGGTGAAAAAATCCGGCCAATGGCTTGCTCACAGCGACCCACCCAGGCAGAAAACCTCCCTCTAATCAGCTCCCCAAGCTGGAAAATCGACCATTTAGTGTTTTGCTTTTCCCATCAAAACATATCAAAACATCCAATTTAAGGGTCCCCAAAGAAAAAGCTCAGGCTCAGTTTAGTTTACCATCTCAAAATTGGGGGGTTTAATTTCGCCGGACCCATCAGCATCCAGGAACTCAGCTGTCAGGTGGAGCATCCGCCCGAGAAGGCTTCGTGGTGACATAGCGCGCCACTGAAAATGCTGAAAACCGCCCTTTATTAAAGGATGTTGTCCAACAGATACAGTGTCCAATTGTTTCAGTGACTTAGGGCGTGTCGTGTACCTCAAGTTCTTACTGGCAAATGGCTGGTCAAAATCATATCGACACCCGTTTTTTAGGTTTGATTCAGACCTTAAAACAATGATCATCATGATCATCCAGTAAACCCTCCTCTAGTTTAACACTTTGCGAACTCGAAACCATTTTTCCTGTCTCGGTAGATGATTCACCGTGATTTCAGATGGGTCAAAACCCATCAAATCACCATATGGAGGTTTCCTGACATGGGGGTACCCCCAAATCAGCGGGATTTTCCACTATAAACCATCCAGCTATTGGGGTACCACCATTTTATGGTGTTTTATTCACGCCCAGCATCCAGCAGGTCTACCCTTCGCGGTCCAGCCCACTGCTCGAAGACCAGAGAACTTTGCCGGTCTTTGGGTTCAGCCTTGGAACTCGGAGAGTTTCTCGGTGTTCAGCGGAGGACTTGGTGTTCAAATGGTACCACAAATGAACATGAAACAGGTGAAAGATATAGATGTAGAAAGCTAGTGAAATATAGTAGCAAAATATAGTGAGATATCAAATTTGGACCTTCTAGGTAGTGAAAACCTGAAAGATCTCCAATCCTCATGGGATGAGAGCTCCCAACGATAGCTAAGTTGTTGGTTCAACATAATTCCAATAAGTATGGTCTAATGGTCAAACGGGTAGATATGCCATGATATGCCCATGGTTAACGGGTTGTAAACCATACCTGGGGGCACCTTGTAGAATTCACAGAGCTTATTTCATCGAGATGTTGGTCGCATTCAACCAGGAAATCTGTGGGACATTCCCCCGTGAGTCTCACCGTGACTGAATTTGACAATCTTTTGCCTGGTGGGTATACCTACATATATCTAGAGATGTAAAAATGTATATATATATATAAATACATATACGAATATTTATATATATATATATACACATGCGTATATGTATAGATAGATAGAAAGATAGGGTTCCGCGATGGTTTCGGCCCACCATGCCGGCAGTGAATCTTAGTTTTTTCCAAGACAGCCTGTGCGCTTCATGCCTTCATGCCGACATGTTTTTGTACAGAGCAAGTTCGGCCTTCAACTTATTTTACTTATTGTCCTCTATATTGCGTTGTGCATTGTATTCTTGAAGTTATGGTTATATAAAAATGTTGAAAAGGGGAGGTCCGAAATCATCCCCTAGCCAAAGATAGATATAGATATTAGATATTAGATACTAGATAGTAGATGTAGAGATAGATAGATAGATAGATAGCTAGCTAGATAGATAGATAGATAGATAGATAAATAGATAGATAGATAGATAGATAAATAGATAGATAGATAGATAAGGTATGTAGGTAGATAGATAGATAGATAGATAAACAGATGGATATATAGGTAGACAGATTGATGGATAGATGGACAGGTGGATAGATGGATAGATGGATGGATGGATAGATGGATGGATGGATGGATAGATGGATAGATGGATAGATGGATAGATGGATAGATGGATAGATGGATAGATGGATAGATGGATAGATGGATAGATGGATAGATAGATAGATAGATAGCTAGCTAGCTAGCTAGATAGATAGATAGCTAGCTAGCTAGCTAGATAGATAGATAGATAGATAGGTAGATAGATAGATAGATAGACAGACAGATAGATAGATAGATAGATACATGGGAGGCCCAAATGACGAGACCGCTGTGCCAACCTAAACCAAGCCCCCTTTCCAGCCCCGAAACCACCTGCCTGGGCACGCTTCGGTGGCATCTCGGGTGGTGAGAACACAGTGCTGGGGCCAAAAAATGCTCCACTGGAAAGTGAAACAAACGTCTGAAACCTCCAAAAGTGAAGGCTTTTGCAGCACGCACATGGTTTCTGCGTGCAACCGATTTCCTCTCTCAATAGAATTGGAACAGACATGCAGAATCAGACATGGAGGCAACGTCAGCGACGCAGCGCATGCCTGTGATCCCAAACATGTCGAACATGCTGTAAGGCTATAGCATGCACAAAGCGAAACCTTTTCAAAGGCCGATCCGCCACAATTTCACGATTTCTCCTGCAAGACTCTTACCCTACATAGACATGTGCTGCTCGCTTTTCCCCAAACACTGCTAAATTCAAGCGCGCGCCGAATGGTGAAATAATTCAAGTAGCTTCTGTTCAGCTCAAACATCAAAACAAGGACCCCTGTACTGAGAAGGGCCACACACATGGCACCGAGAGAAACAGGCTCGAAACATTGAGTCGTAGGAAGAAGGTAACCGCTGGGTGAACACGCTGGTGATCTAGAACGTGCACCCCGAGTTTTCAATGAAATACACTTTTCTTTTCAATGAAGTGCATTCACCCAAACATACCTGCAAACCAGCTGCAGCCGTCGAATTCTCGAATTCAAAATATATCGAATTCTCGAATTTAAAATCTCTTATCATGTGACAGTTTGGAAGTCCAGATTCAACAGCGAGGTCTCCTCACACAGCTTCTAATAACAAGGGAAATTGACACAATATATATATGTGTGTGTGTGTGTAACTCAAAAATAGTTTTGGCAATTTCCAAACTGTCGTTGCATCCCCCAGGAGCTCAGGCCTGGCCAGGCCGAGGTCTCCTCCGGGGTCACCGAGCGGCCCCGGCCCTCGGGCCGGAACCGTTCCCGCGAACCGTGCGATGGTGACCGCCGAGCACACCTCCACCTGGCCAGTCTGGACAGCATATTTAGCTGCTCCCGGGTCAGGTGCATCCAGGCGCCGCCGCCTCGGGCCTGAGCTGCAATGTGGTGGTCACCACACTTCCGGTTCAGGACTAAAGGGTTTCCTTTCAGAAGTGGCAAAATATCCCCCATGTGATTCAACACACCCGCTGTCATATCAGGAGAACAGTGAAGATGTTTTGGGATGTTGGAAAACAGAAGGCCAGCTGGGAACTTAGCATTTATTTGGCCAACAATAATCCCAAAAATCTCTTGTTTTGGTTCCTGCGATCAGGTCGATGGTGGACCATGCAAAGACATGGTGGATCTGGGTCACCATGCGGCGGGCCTGACCGCACTGCTCACAGGTGCCTCAGTAGAGTAATGATAAAGATGAGATAAAAATGTTGGTAATAAACAAGATGCAGCCCACGAACCCGAATGCTCACACGTATGTTAATGGTACAGATGTCAAAACACATGGATATGCAGTCACGCACAATACCTTTCTGCAACAGTTTATTTGAACAGTCTTGTATATAGTTCCCCTGTTACCAGTCTGCAGTATGGAGTGGAAAGTGTTGAGTGTGGAGTGTAAAGCAAGGAGTGTGGAGTGTAAAGTGTAGAGTGTGGAGTGAAAAGTGTAGAGTGTGGAGTGTGGAGTGTAGCGTCTGGAGTGTGGAGTGTAGAGTGTGGAGTGTGGAGTGAGGAGTGTGGAGTGTGGAGTGTAGCGTCTGGAGTGTGGAGTGTAAAGTGTAGAGTGTGGAGTGCGGAGCTTCCCCCATAGACACGGCGATGCCACAGGAAAACCAGAGACTCGAGACAAGACACGTGGATGCAGAAAAACAAGCATTTCGAGACTTCCTCCAATTTTGACATTTTCGACACATTATCAAACAGGTTGGAATGTCACAAAGTGCCACGCCTGCCACGCAAAACGACATGACAACCTCCTTGGAAACCTTCGGAAAAGAAATGTTCTGCAGCTTCCCCCGTAGACGCGGCGATGCCACAGGAAAACCAGCGACTCGAGACGAGACAAGTGGATGCAGAAAAACAAGCATTTCGTATGAGACTTCCTCCAGTTTTCACACTTTGTAGCTTCAAAATCGACATTTTCCTACGAGTTTTCGCAGGAACCTCTAAATTTTGCAACCTCAAAATCGATGTTTCGTGCGAGGGTTCCGTCAATTTTCAGCACATCTCACAAAATGCCACGCCTGCCACGGAATCTGCACCTTGTCGCCACTTCACGCAGCCCTGCCAATTCGATTTGCAAAAAACACGTGACACGACACGTCTAAAGTGCTGCGCCTGCCACGCAAAATGACGATGGACACGTCCAAAGTGCTGTGCCTGCCACGAAAACTGCCACGCATCGTCTGAAAACGTCGCAAAAGTATTGCGCCTGCCACAAAACGACTTTCGACACGTTGCAAAACACCTCTGAATGTCACAAAGCGCCATGCCTGCCACGCGAAACGAAGCAACGGAACGTTTGAAACCTCCAAAAATGACCCGCTCTGCAGAACTTACCATAGGCACGGCCATATAGCAATCGCGCGGACGGTTGCGGACGGTTGCGGACGGTTGCGGACGGTTGCGGACGGTTGCGAACGGTTGCGGACGGTTGCGAACAGAAACGCAACGTCGAGCGAACACACCCTCAGCCCCCAGACCCCCAGAGTGAAACGGGAACCCTTGCTACGCATTCGGGAAAAATGTTGTGCAACAGAGTTGCAATGTTATTTGAAAATACTGTTTTGAAACTTGTCTGCCTCGCCTTGTGCCACAACGTCTTTGTCAACATCCTTCTGTTCTTCAACTTCATTCTCTTCTTCTACTTCAACATTATGAAGGTGTGCACGGGCATTGGGTGGAGGAAGTGAGTTGAACCCAGAACCAGGAGCGTTTCAGATTTTGATTTTTCCCCACATTGACGTGTGGGGTTTTTGTTTTTAGTTCTGTATCCGCTCCCTCACACACACACACACTCACACACACAGACACACTAGTCATCACACACACTAGACAAAATTGGATCTTTATATCGATCCGATGGGAACTGAATCCCTTCACATGCAATTGGATTAGAAACAAGGACCTAAGGAAGATCTCCTCGATGAAAATTGCGAATAAATTGAAGGTTTGCGAAAAATACAAACTAGCCATAGACATCGTTCCCGAAATAGGCAATAGTCGCTGTAGGGTTCTCGGCTTAGCCCTGCGCCATGACCAGAAAAAACGGTGCAAATAAAGTAGAAATTGATCCCAATGAGAATCTCAGAATGTAAAACCAAAATTGTTGTATTTGGGGTTCTCGGCTTAGCCCCTTGCCATTGTTCAAATATGTTGGCAGGTGCACATCCATGGCCAGTGGATGCTTCCCTCTCTGATGCGTAGCTCCGTTGGACAGAGTAGCATCAAAGAGCCCTGTCCCCCTGCTAGTTAGTAAACTGAGCAGCAAAAACGGAGAAGTTTTGTCTTTGTCCGGAATGGTACAGAGATCCTATGTAGGGGATGGACATTCTCCACACACACACTTGCTCAGAAACATCTTATCGAATTACTGAAGTGGAATGCATCACACGTGCAAAAACACTTCAGCTAAACCTGACAGGAGACATTGGATGATCAGGAGTGAAAAACTGTGCGAAGTAAATCAGTCAATGTTCAGATGCAGCTCAGTCTTCTGTAATTGACCGAAAGTAGTTCCAGAT